GTGCAGATCTGTCCTCGCAGAGGAGGGAGAGCTTGTACCTGAATAGACTGTTTTGGACCGGGGGGGGGGCTGGGAGGGGGCTCTGCAATTTACCTGGCTGCTTCTTGCTCTGACTGAGGGTTGCTGGGAGCAGGGGGCGGGGCTTCTTGCATGTGCCCACCCCCTGGCCTCTTTACTGCCGGAGCTCTGCTCCTGTGCGCTCCTGCAGGAAATGACCCCTGGTAGAGACTACTTCTGATCAAACGTGCACAGATGTAGGACAGCGGCTTACGGCCATTTTAAATGTACACCCCCAATCTTAGTTCAGAAACTTCCACTTCTGCTAACATAAGTTTGGGAATCACTGGGCAAAACTATCTGGGACTTTCTCCGAGCATGGCATTCTGAGGGGAAGGAGTATTTGTGTGTCAGCTTCTACGAAATAATTCATTTTTCTTACTACCCAGTTCGCCCGACCAAAGGGGATCAGTGGATGTACGCTGCCCTCTAGTGTGTTAGCATAGCAGCACATACCGAAAAGGAGCTCAAGGACCTATTTCGAGGAGATGCAAACACAATCCTACAAACTTAGGCTTTGATTTTGTATAGCACTTTCAGGGCATTCAAAGAGCATCACAGACTTTATTTTGCTGCGACAATTATAGAAGAAATTGTTAAAGCCTATGAAGAAAGGTTAAAACCGCTTGGGGCTCCTTAGCTTGGAGAAATGACGGCTGAGGGGGTGACATGATCGGGGTTTATAAGATTATGCCTGGGATAGAGCAGGCAGAGAAAGAGGTCCTTTCCCCCCTTTCTCACAAGACAAGGACTCGTGGGCACTCCATGAAATTGCTGGGTTGGAACAGATAAAAGGAAGTCCTTCTTCACCCAAAAGACTGGTTAACTCATGGAATTCACTGCCTACAGGAGGTGGCAGCAGCTACAAGCATGGATGGCTTCAAGAGGGAATTAGATAAGCAGGGGTCATTTTGTAGAAAGAGGTGCAAGAGCTCGTTAGAATAACTTATTAGCATAACTCATTTGCATATGCCACACCCCCTGACATCACCGGAACATGAAATTGAGCAAACTTCAGAGGACAGTGGAAGACAGGAGGGCCTGGCGTGATCTGGTCCATGGGGTCGCGAAGAGTCGGACTCGACTGTGCAACTGAACAACAACAACAAATGTTCTTACAGCATCCTTGAACAGTATTTATTTTGTTGTTGTTGTTATTTACACAGTGCTGGGGGGTCAGAGATGGTGAAATCGTGGCCACGGGAGAGATGGCTTTCCTGAAAACCAGAATACGCAGGACGCATAAGTATCAGAATGTGGACTGGAGGCACATCTATACCACAAGACAGTGATACTCACTCAGTGGCTCAGGAGTGCCATACATACTATTACATAGTACTGGCTCCAAACTGCATCTAAAAAAAAACGTTTGGGATTGGGAGAGGAAGGTACACAACTGAATTACCATTCAAGACACATGTACCTGTTTCTATGACTCACAAAAGTTCATACCCTACCACAAATTTTGTTAGTCTTTAAGGTGCTACGGGACTCTCGGCTCTTTTGTACTGCTGCAGATAGACTAACATGATTCATCTAGTTCAGCATCCTTACATAGTGGTCCATCAGTGGATATCGGCCACCAGGTATAGATGGAACATTCTATCTGGGGCAGTGATGCTCTGTCTTCTTGGTATTTGGGGGGGGGCAACAGTGGGAGGGCTTCTGGAGTTCTGGCTCCACTGGTGGACTTCCCAGTGGCCCCTGGGTTTTAGCCACTGTGTGACAAAGAGTGTTGGACTGGAGGGGCCATTGGCCTGATCCAACACTGGCTTCTCTTATGTTCTTATATGGAGCAGAGGTCCATCAGTGGCTATAAGCCACAAGGTATAGATAGGAACTCTTGGTCTGGGGCAAGTGATGCTCTGTATCCTTGGTGTTTGTAGGGGAGGCAACAGCGGGAGGGCTTCTAGTGTCCTGGCCCCACTGCTGGACCTCCTGATAACCCCTGGTATTTTTGGCCACTGTGTGACACAGAGTGTTGGACTGGATGGACCATTGGCCTCATCCAACACAGGCTTCTCTTATGTTCTTATATGGAGCAGAAGTCCATCAGTGGCTATTAGCCACAAGGTATAGGTAGGAACTCTCGTTCTAGGGCAAGTGATGCTCTGTATTCTTGGTGCTTGGGGGGGGGGAAGAGTGGGAGGGCTTCTGGCCCCACTGGTGGACCTCCTGAGGGCACCTGGATTTTGGCCACTATGTGACGCAGAATGTTGGACTGGATGGGCCATGATCCAACATGGCTTCTCTTACGTTCTTCAGCAATTTTGGCACCAAGGCAAGAGAAGGAGCTGGGACTGAGTAAACAGAGGCCAAACTCTGCACGCAAAACATTCCAGGTTGGATCCCCACCAAATCTTGAGAATGGGTTTAAAAAGCTGGCTAAGACCTTTTTCTACCAGAGACTCTGAGGAGCTATGACCAACCAGCACAGGCTAGAGCTGTAGTCAGACTCAATCTGAGGAAGTTCTTCTGGTCAGGTGGTGCCAATACACTGTAGTGTAGCAGACAAAGCATTTACCTAGGGCAGTGATGGCGAACCTTTTAGAGACCGAGTGCCCAAACTGCGACCCAAAACCCACTTATTTATCGCAAAGCGCCAACACGACAATTTAACCTGAATACTGAGGTTTTACTTTAGAAAAACAACTCATACATTAACCTAAGATGATCCAAGCAAAGTAAGGAAAGCAATCCCAAATGCTTTAATTTACTTAAAATTATTTGGCAGATAATTTGACACTTTAATGATGGTCTGGGCCTGGCTGGGGCGATGGCACGCATGCCCACAGAGAGGGCTCTGAGTGCCACCTCTTGCACCTGTGCCATAGGTTTGCCACCACTGACCTAGGGAGACCTGAGTTTCAACCCTCATTCTGCCATGGAAGCTTGCTGGGTGTCCTTGGACCAGCTCTCTCTCAGCCCAGCCTACCTCACAGGGTTGTGGTGGGGACCAAACAGAGGGAGAGACTGTGTACAGCACTGTGAGTTCCTTGGGAGAGTCAAAACGTGTCAGCCAGGGAGTTTAGAGTGAGACTCAAACCAGTCGCTCAGCCCATACGCAATGGCAGATGTGACTGACTTTTTTATCCCTATTCTTCTGCAGTCCAAAGAGGGAAAACATCACAGAAATTCTGGTGACGTGGCTCTACCGGGACAGGTCAACTCTCCCCCTTTAATAGATTCATGGAAGTGGTATTTACTCTGCAGTGTTACTGAGCTCCACGCCATGAAAAGCTGCAGCTGCCCATTTCAACCTGGTATTAAAGGATAGAGCCTGGGTTGGGAAATTCCTGGAGATTTGGGGATGGAGTGTAGGGAGGGGCCTCAGCTTGGAATAACGCCCTGGAGTCCACCCTCCAAAGCATCCATTTTCTTCATGGGAAATGAGCTCTGGAGGCCCGTTGCGATTCCAGGAGGTCTCCAGCGACGCTCCCTCTAAGCTGTGGGAGTCTTGTGAGCCAAAATTCTACTTTGTGAGCTACTGGCATCAAAGTTGTGAGCCAGCGATTTGGCTGCGGCATGAATTGGTTTCCTCTGGAGCCCTCCTTCCTGAGCGGAGACAAAAATGTGTGCGTTGGAGGCTAAAAAAAAAAGTGAGCTGGCTCACACTAACTCGGCTTAGAGGGAACACTGGTCTCCAGGCCCCGCCTGGAGGTTGGCACCGGACGTTTCCGTCGGGGCCTGCTGGCATGGCAACCCTAAGATGCATGATTCCCCTTTTGCGACTCCTTGCAGGACCTCCCTTTCAGGCGTCCTTTGCCAAGATGGCGCCCCACCGGGTGATGTCATCGCCTTTGGTCCGAGGCATGGGCGTGACGTCACGGCCCCGTGACGTCACGGGTTTCCCAGGTCGGCGCTCTCCTTCCCATAGACGTCGCATTACACGCACCGCGCCTCGCTCTGTGGGGCCCAACTCTCGCCTTCCTCGCAAGGGGGAAACTTCAACCCTTCAGTTCGCCTCAAATCGACCACGCTCCGCGGCAGCCGTTAGGACGCTCCGCGCACGCGCACTCCCCCCCTTCTCTGCGCACGTGTCCCCCAAGCGGAACCGTCAGGGAGAGCCGTCTCTAGTCGCCGTGGAGCACAGGTGACGTCATTCGACGCGACCCGCTTGCCTCCTGCCGTCAGCGCATGTGCAGTCACGCGGAGCCTTTAGGGGATCGCCGCGGCGCGCGGGTTGCCCTGGAGACGGAGGAGGCGGGGCTAGGGTGACGCAAACCGAGGCGTTCCTCGCTCTGCGGCCGCCTCTCTGGTTGGACGAACGGCTTCTCGTTGCCCTGGGGATAGCGGCGGCCGCAAAGCAGCGCGGGGAGAGGGGGTGTCGCCGAGCGGGGCCGTCGCACGCTCGCTCGCGTTGCGACAACGTGGGGATGATGAAGAAGCGGGAGGAGAAGGCGCGGAGCGGGCTGTGTCAGACCCGAGGGTCGGAGAGAGAGCACGTGGGAATCGGCTCCTGCTTACCAAAGAGGGCTGGGTTAGGTCGTAAAGTCCGTCATCCTGGTCCCAGGACAGAAAAGCAATCCCGTAGGGTTGCCAACCCCCAGGCGGGGACTAGAAATCCCCCCGGAATGATAACAGATCCTCAGGTGACGGTGACTGTTTCCCCTGGAGAAAAATGGCTGGTTTGGAGAACGGACTCTGTGGAATTAGACCATATGGCTCAAGTGAATGAATTTGAATGAATTTTATTGTTACGGCACTTTGCCAGCAATGATATGGCAGCAGTTCGAGACCTGAGTGCCGCGTAATGGAGTGAGCACCCGTCTCTCGCCCCCAGCTCCAGCCAACCTAGCAGTTTAAAAGCAAAGAATTGCAAGTAGAGAAATAGGTACCGCTTCGGTGGGAAGGTAACAGCGTTCCGTGCGCCTCGGTGTCTAGTCGTGCCGGCCACATGACCACGGAAACGTCTTCGGACAGTGCTGGCTCTTCGGCTTGGAAACGGAGATGAGCACCGCAACCCTAGAGTCGGATTCGACTGGCTTTCGAGCAAGGGAAACCTTTACCTTTAATATATCTGGTGAGCAGTGACTCAGGGAAGTTCATGTTCTGCTACGAATTTTGCTAGTCTTCAAGGTGCTACTGGACCCTTGCTCTTTTCTACATTATTAGGTTAATGAGTTCATTCTGCAAGGTGTATGATGCAAAGTCAGGATTGCCAGTGCTTCATCAAAGGAGGAATCTTGGGTGGGATCAGCTGACTGAGAACCATGCTACATGGAAGGGAAGGATCTGGATCCCACCACACAGGGTCTGTTCATGTTGAGAGGAAGAGCCTTTCCTACTCTTAGGTTACTACAGGTTTTTATATATATATATAGAGAGAGAGAGAGAGTGCCTGCTAGGCACTACACAGAATTCAAAAACACAGTTGCTGCTGTTGGGTTTATTGCCTCAAAATTAGTCAGTTCTGGGAATCTGTACTGGGACAGATTAAATCCATCACCTATTTGAATATTCCTCTTATACCGGAAAATCTCTTTCTGAATGGATAGGTCTCTCGAGGCATTGTTCTTCCTCTAAAACAGAAAGGGTCTCTCTTCTGTCTGCTGCTAAGACGGTCGTTGCCACAAATTGGGGAAAGGCTATGCTACCCACTCTTTCACATTGTGGGATTTCTACTTTATGGCTAAGCTTATGGACAGTCTCACACGTTTTGACAAGCACTCTTCACCTTCTAACTTTACCTCTACCTGGTTCCCCATTTTGAAATATTTGGTTTCCCAACAAGAAATCCCTAAGCTGATAGAAGAACTATGTATGTGGTAAAACTTAAAATTTAATTATTGTATTCGGTAATCTAACATCCATATATTGCTGTGATTTTTAACTGCCTCTTGTTCTTTTATATATTACTGTCTTGTTTTTAATCTCAGCTTGTATAACTTCTTTGAATCATTCACAAAGATCATAATAAAACATTAACTGAAAAAACCAGTTGCTACAGAAGCAGCAGACCCTTCTTTCTAAACCAAACCAAACTGCACAGTAACTTTATTGAACAACGTAATTTGATTCTCAAATAGCAGATTAATGTGTTTATTTGCATTCTGTAAAGCTTTTAACAAAACCAATAAAAACATTTTTTTTAAAAAAGGAAAAAACAAATGTGTGTTTGGGAGGAGGGGATTAACAGCCACATGGTAACCGAGATAAGACAAAAAAGTAACCAAGAGTCTTTTGCAGAGGTTGAAAAGACATCTGTCTCCTATGAGTAAACTGGAAGGAGGTGGAAAGATTTTCTGTCCCTTTGCAGACTACACCCAGGTGCTGATCCTGTTGCCCAAGAGATTGGCCACAGCATTTGATAACCCCCTGGAATGAGATGGTTAAGTCCAGGCAGTTTCCTCTCATCACCTGGTATCTTGACAGTTTTTGCAGACAACAGGCAGACCCTTGAATCATTCTTCTGCCTCATCCATGGGGTGCGAAGGGGCCAACCAGTGTGCTCACAGTTTTACAAACAACTAGTATCTAGATCCTGGTCAGGGGCTCATCTGCCAGCAAGCTGTGCAGGGGGGCGTCGGGCACCCACTGTGCAGCAAAAGTTCTTGTATTTGCGACCAAGAGACCCAGAACTGAACAACCGCACCCCAGCCCGGCTGTCAACGTGGGTAACTAACTTCAGAAGCAATCGGCTTTGGTAACCCGCCAGCGGGGAGGAGAAGGAAGATGAGGTCAGAGGAGGCAGAGCCGTAGTAGAGGAATTTTGTGTCCGGGCATAGGGAAGCGTACACAGGTAAAGAGGTCTCTGTTTACCTCCTTAAGGAAGACTTAGGGCTGAACTGGACAGAGATGCAAAGGCAGCCTATCCTTGGAAAACTGCCGACACGGGCAGCTGGATCCCAACCAGGTCAGGAACTGTGAGTACAGGATGGGATACATACTGTTCCTATGCTGGCTACCCTCCCAGCACTGCCTGGTTGAACTTCACTGCAGTTCACAGTATCACAGTTCAGCTGCCGGCAGAGTTGACAGAGAGAATCCACACGTCCGTGAGAGACAGCACCTCGCCCCAGTATGACGAAGAGGGTGCGTGGAAGAAGAGACCTAAACGAAGACGGAGCACCTCGCGCAAGTTCCCCGGTGTTGGACAAAGAGTCCCGCCCGGCGCTACCGGCATTACTGCTTTTCTCCGTGGAGCGACTGCGGTGAGCTCTGAGTACTGTGATCCGATATAGAGTGTATGTTGGACAGGGAACTCTGACTGCCTAATGAAGACGAGAAGGTGATGCTGGACGCTGGAAAGGGGGAGAAAAAGAGATGCTTAAGTGGGTTCCTGGGAAACGCTGGCTCCAGCTGTGCCTGTTGGCGTGGAGAGGGGGGGGGCTCCTCGCCTGGTGCAGGAGGAACCCTGCCCGCGGGACTGGCTGTGTAAGAAAAGGTCAGCTCAGCAGCCAGAAGGAAGCATGGAAACCACAGTACGCTGGCCAAGGTGCCCACAGGCTCGGGAAGTGCCAAGGATGCCAGGGACATAGGCCCAAATTTTTACTTCTTTACACCATCCTGATGTTACAGAGCCCACCCGGGTGCTGTAGAAAGGCCAGGGGTCAATGCTTCCTCTCAGCTGTGGAGTCTTGTGAGCAAAGATTCTACTCTGTGAACAACTGGCATTAAAGCTGCCTGCAAGACGGAGCTCTTCCGCCAAGCTTTTAATTAGGAGCCGCCGCCAACAACAACTACCTCATGGGGCATTGGGATGGCCCATTATAAGATTGATGGCCCACTATAAGATCGAGTTACAGTATTCTGATTGAGCGGTACCACCGATTCGGGCTTCAGTAACATCTGCTGATAACCATATCTTGACTTGACTGATTTGACTAAATGATTAATATTAACATCAGAGAGCAATTTAATTCTGATAAAATAGCTGTTTTTATGTGTTTTAATGTTTTATACTTGGCACATGGTGCCCTTGTCTGTCAGCCGCCCTAAGCCGTGGAGTCTTGTGAGCAAAAATCCTACTTTGTGAGCTGCTGGCATTACAGTTGTGAGCGAGTGATTTGGCTACTGCATCAGTCGGTTTGCTCTGGAGCCCTCCTTCCTGAGCGGAGACAAAAATCTGTGAGCCGGAGGCTAAGAAACGGTGAGCTAGCTCACACTCACTCAGCTTAGAGGGAACATTGCCAGGGCTCCCAATGATGGTAAGGGGGAGAGCCGTCTACCCTTAGGAGAAAGGGGTGTGGGGTTGCCAGATCCAAGTTGGGAAATACATGGAGATTTGGGGAGCTAGAGCCTAAGGGGGCGGGGTTTGGGGAGGGGGGACTTCAATGGGGTGTCCTGCCACAGAGTCTACCTTCCCAAGCGGCCATTTTTTTCGGGTGAACTGCCGACCTGGAGGGTGGCAACCCCAGCAGTCACGGGTGGCCAAAGAGCAGGGAGAACAGGATGGCAGTGGGAGGGCTCTGACCGTTCCCGCCGGGTCCTTCTGCGAGGTGGAGTGGGGCACTGCCTCAGTATCGGCCCCTCAATCGAAGCCCACGGGGACCCCCGCCACACTGGGCCCTGCCAACGATCCACAGGAGTGCCTCGGGGCCAGCCTCTTGCAAAGACGCAGCCGGCAGATGCTCCGAGAAAATGCTAGGAGGTCCAAGCCTATAGCCAGGATTTTGTAGCTCGTGGAGCAAATAAATTGCTGGTGGGGCTGCCGTTATTTGCCATGAGGAAGGAGGAGTGGTGCACACCCCTCTCCCTCCCTCCTGCAAGATTTAAAGGGCCCAGTCAGCTGAAGGATCCCTTTAACTGAGAGCCAGTTTGGTGTGAGGGCCAGTTTGGTGTAGTGGTTGAGTGCGCGGGTTTGATTCCCCCACTCCTCCACTGGCACCTGGCTGGATGACCTTGGGCAAGCCGTCTCTCTGATAAGAGCTGTCCTTGAAAAAGAGCCGTTTCTGTCAAGAGCTCTCTCAGCCCCACCTACCTCACAGGGGTGTCTGTTGTGGGGAGGGGAAGGGAAAGGAGTTTGTGAGCAGCTCTGAGACACCTTTTGGTAGTGAAGGGCGGGGTATAAATCCAATCTCTTCTTCTTTTTAAGTAATCTTAGGAAGAAGCAGGGACCAGTGTTCCCTCTAAGCGGAGTTAGTGTGAGCGAGCTGTCTTTTTAGCCTCCGGCTCGTACATTTTTGCCTTCGCTCAGGGAGGAGGGCTCCAGAGCCAACTAATTTACGCAGTACCAAATGGCTCGCTCACAACTTTAAGGCCAGCAGCTCACAAAGTAGAATTTTTGCTCACCAGACGCCACAGCTTAGCGGGAGCACCGTCGGGGACCCTTCAAGGAAGGGGGATGGCCCTTTAAGGAAGGGGGCGGAGCCCACAACAGCCCCACCGTGGCTAGGGGCCTGACGTGGTCCCTAAAACCCAGAGTGGGCCTCGCCGGCTGTTGACGACTCACCAGCCCGAAAAACAATGGCCTCCTCGACTCTCTTGTAGAGGTTGTGAGCCCAGTTCTTGATGCTGGGGCCCACGATGTGGATGAAGATGTATGCCAACACCATGCCAATTAAGGAGAACAGGGAAACCTGGGGGGGGGGGAAGGTGACAGAGACAAGACTGGGTGTTAAAAACTCCTCGGTAGTATGGGACGACCGTTATGTGCCCTGGCCTGGAGGGCCTAGGCTAGTCAGATCTCGGAAGCTAAGCAGGGGTCAGCCCTGGCTAGTATTTGGATAGGAGACCACCGAGGAATACCAGGGCTGTGATGCAGAGGCGGGCAGCGGCAAACTGCCAACGCTCGTCTCTGCCTTGAAAACCCTACAGCAGGGGTGTCGAAAAACAGGTTGCTTTCCTGTAACCAGGGGTCATTTCCTGCGGGAGCGCTCAGGAGCGGAGCTCCGGGAGTAAAGGGCCCAGGGGGCGGGCACGTGCAACAAGCCCCGCCCCCTGCTCTCAGCAGCCCTCAGTCAGAGCAAGAAGCAGCCAGGTAAGCTGCAGAGCTCGGCCCCCCGGTCCAAGACAGTCCAGTGGCACCTTTAAGACCAAGTTTTATTCAGGCACAAGCTCTCCCTCCTCTGCGAGAACAGATCTGCACGTTCCCCCCCCAATAGCTAGCAATCCAAAACAGCCCAGTGGCACCTTTAAAACCAAGTTTTATTCAGGCACAAGCTCTCCCTCCTCTGTGAGGACAGATCTGCACGTTCCCCCCCCCCAATAGCTAGCAATACAAAACAGTCCAGTGGAGCCTTTAAGGCCAAGTTTTATTCAGGTACAAGCTCTCCCTCCTCTGCGAGGACAGATCTGCACATCCTCCCCCCCAATAGCTAGCAATACAAAACTGTCCAGTGGCACCTTTAAGACCAAGTTTTATTCAGGTACAAGCTCTCCCTCCTTTGCGAGGACAGATCTGCACGTTCCCCCCCCTCAATAGCTAGCAATCCAAAACAGTCCAGTGGAGCCTTTAAGGCCAAGTTTTATTCAGGTACAAGCTCTCCCTCCACTGCGAGGACATCTCTACGTTCCCCTCCCCAATAGCTTTTTCTATGAAATGAACCCTGTCAATATCTATCTCTTACCTGCACTCTCAAGCATTTATTTCCTTTAATAAAAGTTGCTTATTAGTTTGAGAACTGACTGCTGACTCCAGGTGACTTTGTCAGTCCGTCGCCACGCCTAGCCCCAGGCTCTGCTGCGTTACAGCCTTTGAGCACTCTGCTACTTTCCTGTGGTTCCCTGGCAGGACCAAGTCCGGAGAATCCAACAGCTTCAGCTATTGGTACGCTCCCGAGGCGTGTCCGTGTGATTGGCCAGCACCAGGTTTGGGGGGGGCACCTGGGCAGAGAGTGCCCGGGGACTCCCCTGTGCCCACTGCTGCACCACCCTTCTTGCCCGCCCGCCCACGCGTCCCCACCTGCCTGAGCGTCCTCCCTCTGCCCACACGCTAGCTCTCCTGGTGCCTGCAGTCCCTCCCAGCTGCGTGGCAGTTCCCCGATGTGGCTAGCCACAGCTAGGAGCGCCACTGCCCTGGCCACCAGGAACACGGAGGCTTCGTGCGCCACCCGCGTGCCCTTCCCCAGCAGCACTAGGCAGCTGAAAGAGGTGACAAAGCGCTCACGAGCAGGCAGCGGGGGCGACGCGGGAGTTGGCATCAGTCAGCCCGGCCAAAATCCACGGGCCACTGCCCTGCCTTGGGGTATGCTGATGCCAGCCCCGCTTGTGCATACGCGGCCGACGCCCTCGAACCGGCACAGCCACGCCCCACTTGCGGAGATGAGGACCGGCGAGCGGCTGCTTCTACCTGCATGAGGAAGATGGCCCGGGTGGGGCTGAGGCGCAGACCGTGGACGTGGATGATGAACTCCAAGGCGTAGTCGCAGTAGGTGGTTTGGTCCACGTCTCTGTGGAAGAAGGAGAAGGAGAAGCCTTTTCACATAGCCGTTGATGTTCATGAAGGATCTAGGGGCAAAGCAGGGGGAGGAGGAGGAGGAGGAGATTGGATGTATACCCCGCCCTTCACTACCTGAAAGAGTCTCAGAGCAGCTTACAATCTCCTGTCCCTTCCCTTCCCCACAACAGACACCCTGTGAGGTAGGAGATTGTAAGCTGCTCTAAGACTCCTTCTGGTAGTGAAGGGTAGGGTATGAATCGAACCTCTTCATCTCTTCTCTCTCTCTTTCTCTTCCCCTCCCACAACAGACACTCTTTGGAGGACTGCTCTTGAGAGAACAGCTCTGAGAGAACTTGTGACTGACCCAAGGTCACACCAGCAGCTGCATGTGGTGGCGTGGGGGATCAGACCCGATCCTCCCACATTAGAGCCCGTGCTCCTAACCACTACACCAAATTGGCTCACCAAACCCCACCCCCAAACAGACGTCCCCATGCAACGTTGCTGACACACTGACGTCACTTCCGGAAGTGACGTCATCGTGTCGGCAATATTGGGGGCAGCAATCTACTTTTGGGGCAAAACTCTATGGTTTGTAGCCCTTTTTACCATAGAGTTTTGCCCAAAAAGTAGAGCAGTGCATCAATGATGTCCCCGCCCACCGGCAGAATGCCACCTACTAACCCTCCCCCCTCCCCCCGGCCGGCAGGAAGAAGGAACCTGGCACCCAGTGTTCCCTCTAAGCTGAGTTAGTGAGAGCTAGCTCACAGTTCTTTAGCCTCCGGCTTACACTTTTTTGCCTTAGCTCAGGAAGGAGGGCTCCTGAGCAAACTGATTTACGCAGCAGCCAAATCGTTCGCTCACCACTTTGTTGCCAGTAGCTCACAAAGTAGAATTTTTGCTCACAGGACTCCACACCTTAGAGGGGGCACTGGTTGTGAGTGGGGTAGAAATTTTTGCTCACAGGACTCCACACCTTAGAGGGAGCATTGCTGGCAACCCTATTTCATTTATGTAAACGTTTCTATCCCGCCTTTCCTTGTCGTTCAAGGCGGCTTCCGATAATAGTTTTTAAAAAGCCCTTTTCAGTTAAACCCAAAGAGAAAAGAGCAAACGGCAGATCTCTTCTTGCCTCCCCTCCGCCCCCCTTTGAAGTCGTGTGTCCTTCAACCCTCCTCAGATGCCCCGGTGAAGCAAGCAGGCCTTGCAGTGGCTCCTGGAGATCTCCAAGAGAGGGGGCTCCCCTCTCCTCTTTGGGAAGCCCATTCCCCAAACGCGTGGAACCCTCCGGAAGCTGTCTGCGTGGGCTCTTCCCCTTCCAAGGCTTCGAGTGCCTAGGTCCACAGTCCCGGGTTACCTGTTCGACACCTTCACCACGAAGAAGTAATCGGGGGCTGTCATATCCCTGGGAGTGATATCGTAACACGCGGAATTCCGCTGGCAAACAAACCTAGGGGAGGAAAGAGACCGGCTGGCAGGGCGCTTTAGGACCCTACGGGGGAATTCAGAGGGCATTTTTAGGTGAGGATTTGGATGGGGGGGGGGATCTCAATTCTGCGCCGAAGGACGATTCAGCAGACGGTTGCCACTTCGCCTACACGGCATCTTTGTCTCTCGGAATGCGGGATTTGAAGAATTACTTACATAATCCCGTAGTTGGCCCCGGAAAGGATATGGAAACCTTCTGGGTCCGTTTGTTCCTCTGAACTGTCTTCCCTGAGCCAGATCAGACTCTTGGTTTTGCTAGGAAGAAGGGGGTGGGGGGGATGGAAGGAAACCGGGTGTCAGTCGGGTTCGTTCAGAGTAAGTTTTTACCAGCTCCACCCCAACCCCCGATCTAGAAGATGTATTCCCTAAAGCAGGAGTCCCATGGGCACCGCGGCACCGCCAACATCTTTCCCGGCACCCTCTAAGTGTTTTCAGGAAGTGGGTAGGGCCAAGTGGGGCTTTTGCCCAGCAAGGCTTCCGACTGACTGGAGATTTGATTGGCGGTTGATTCAGATTTTTAAAAGATCTTGCTTCGGTAGCTGCTGCTGCCACCACGGCACAAAGATCTTCACTGTGTGACTGAGATCATGCTGCGTGAATCATTTTGTGGCCGGCTCCGCCTCCTGCAGCAGCCATTTTGTGGCCGTGGCCCCCCCTCCCCCCGTGCTGTGACAGACATTCAAAGGTGCCTGCGGGCTCAAACAGTTTAGGGACCCCCCTGCCTTGAAGATTGGAGTTTAAGCCATGGAGCCCGGTAGCTACAAGCACGAAGAAGACACTCCACGCAACGAACCCCAGCATGACCTTTCCCCTTTTTTAAAAACGTACAAATCAAGAGACACGCTCTCCCCTTTTCCCAAAAAAGAGGTTGTCTTTTAGAGCCCGCAGGAGCAATGAGTTCTTCATCTGAAGCCCAGTCTGTTTCTTCCACACAATTCACTGTTCTGTGCGTGCCTCCCAATCGGAGCAAAAGCCAGGACGATGATTCACTCTGGTCCTTTCTGCATTTGGATCCCATCCCTGGTTTTATCAGAGTTCAACTCGCAAAACAATACCTTGCATTGATCCCTGGTTAGAACAGCATCTGTCTATCCCGGGACAAGTGTGGGGCGAATCTGGGGTGGCCTCAATGTAATGTGGAAACAAAATTTTTTTGTTGTTCAGTCGCACAGTCAAGCCCGACTCTTCGCGACCCCATGGACTAGATCCCGCCAGGCCCTTCTGTCTTCCGCTGTCCTCTGAAGTTTGCTCAACGTCATGTTCGTTGCATCTATGACACTGTCCAACCATCTCATCCTTTGCCGTCCCCGTCTTCTCCATGGCGCCCACTAACATCTTCCGTGGTGCCCGCAAGGCTTCTGATTGGCTATGCAGACCAAAGGGCACCCTGTTAAAGAGAGCTTCTTCCTGATACGTTGAAGAGGTACCACCAGAGTTGCATTGAAAGCTTCGTTCCCTAAGGTTCTGTTGCTTTGCTCCGCCTCCGGCAGCAGCCATTTTGCGGCTGGCTCCGCCTCCTGCGGTGGCCATTTTGTGATTGCGCTCAGTGCCCTGTGTCAGGATCCCAAAGGTGCCCGCCGGCACGAAAAGGTTGGGACCCCTGGCCTAAAGGAAACGAGACGTTGCACAGAGAAAGGCTGGCGGGAGCCGTTTCTCACAGGAGCCTAAGCGGAATCCAGATGGGGACGGTGCTCTCGAGGTCGAGCAGGCTCACAAAACCTAGCCTCCCCTCCAAGCTCCCAACCCTCTGGCCGGTCTAAGGGGGGGGCTGCCTCTCAAACGAATGGGAAAATAGCCCTTGCGTCTACCAAGGACCCAGCCCGGGCCTTGCGCTCACCTCCCGTGCACCGAGTTGTAGCGCAGGATCTCCTCTTTGCTGAAGTAGCGGATCTCCTTCTCCGAAAACGGACCCCCGCCAATGATTTTGAAGACGTAGCTGCCGCCAGAACAAAGGAGAAGGGGCGGGGTTACGGATTCGCCCTGCCCAAAAGTCCCCCCTTAAGAAGTACAAACCGCAGGCGAAGTTGCTTCGATCAAATCTCCACTCTCCCGTCTGTTTTAACCCAGACAAGGACCTCTTGTACCGTTCCAGCCTTCCGATATGCCGTAACAACCCAGGCATCCCCTGATTGGCCATCGTAGGTCACCTGCAGCCCCGTAGCTAGGGATTTGGGGGGGAGGGGGCCTGGGGGTCAGCTAATTAAATCAAAGTGAATCACATTAATCCAATTTGGGACTGGCCCAGGAGAGAGGGGGCCCAGAAGAAATGCTAGGGGGCCAGGCCCCGCAGGCCCCGCGTTAGCTACGGGCCTGGTCACCTGGGATGTCAGAAGACAGGTGGGCTTCCTGGCTGACTTGCAGGGGGGAAACACTGCAAACACCGGGGCAAATGCCCTGGAGCGGGTGAGGCCCGGCTCTTGGCGGTGACGCGACTACCTCTGCCTCCCCCCCCCCCCCGCGAGCCAAGTTGCTAGGATCACATCTCCACTCTTCAGTCTCGTTTTAACATGGACAAGGAACTCTCGCATCACTCCGGCCTTCCGACGTGGCAGCCTCTGGCTGGCCAGTGTAGGGCACCTGGGATGTCACAAGACTGCTGGACTTCCGGATTGGCTCTCGGCCTAGCCCGGAAGCCCACCAGTGCCAGTGCCCTGGACCAGGTGAGGCCTCGATCCTGGCGGCGACTCACCGTCCTCTACTGTCCCCCCAGGAGGACCCTGAATCCCGTGAGCCCCCCCACTGATCTTCAGCTCGGCATTGGTGAAAGCCCCGCTCGGCCCTTACCTTCCCTCGAACGGGCCCGAGTGCCCCGTCACCATGTCTTGGATCAAAAAGGAAGGGTAGAACACTGCGAAGAAGAAGAAGAGAGAAGAGATTGGATTTATACCCTGCCCTTCACTACCCAAGGGAGTCTCAGAGCAGCTGACAAACTCCTTTCCCTTCCCCTCCCGGCAATAGACACCCTGTGAGGTAGGTGGGGCTGAGAGAGCTCTTGACAGAAACGGCTCTTTTTCAAGGACAGCTTCTTATCAGAACTACGGCTTGCCCAAGGTCATCCAGCCAGGTGCGAGTGGAGGAGTGCAGGGCCGGCTCACTCACTAGGCGAACTAGGCGATCGCCTAGAGCGGGCCGGCCTTTAGGGGCGCCAAGCTGCACCCAGCCCTGTACTCTGGGAGTTTCTTGATTATTTGGGTTTTTCATTCTTCCTAAAATGCATTTATTTTTGAAAATTTATTTATTTTTTATATTTATTTATTTATTTTTCACATTTATACCCCGCCCTTCCCAGTGGGCTCAAAATTGGTGGGCACATGAGGGGGGCGCCAGAAGGGATCCTCGCCTAGGGTGCGAAATAAGCTGGGGCCGGCCCTGGAGGAGTGGGGAACCCGGTTCTCCCAGATTAGAGTCCGCCCACGTAACCACGACACCAAACTGGCTCTCTACACCAAACTGGAGCAAGGGCCTCCGTTGTTGTCACCGCAGCCTGACACCGCCACTGGCCCCACATGGAGCAAACACCGTCCCCTCTCCCGGTGTGCCACCGCCCTCCCCACGGCCTCACTGTCGCTAAAGAAGAAGCAGGGCATCTCCGGGTCCGGGTTGACGCAGTCGAAGTAGCGCTTGTTCTTCTTGGTGGTGAACTGCAAGGAGCCCGTGATGTCGAAGGCCAGCCTCTTCCCCGGGGGGCAGCCGATATTGATGGTCATCATCTTGGTGCCCTGGGAGGGAGAGAGGAAAACGGACGCTGCTTCCGCCTTCGCAGCTTTCTGCGCTGGGGACCCCCTGCGTGCTGCAATGGATTCTGGGACGGTGGATGCGGGCAGTGTTGTCGTTAATGTTACTGATCATCTGCCCCCCTCGCTGGGACTCAAGGTAGATTACAAGGAACAAGCCAGTACGGTCGATCGAGGGGGAGCATCCAACAGGGGGTGCAGGAGGGGCTGACTTGTAGAAATCTGAAGCAAAGGAGAAGTATGTACACGAAGCTGCCCTATACGGAATCAAGGTCAGTATAGACTACTCAGGCCAGCAGCAGCTCTCCGGGGTCTCAGTCCGAGGCCTTTCGCATCACCTACGACGTGGTCCTTTTAGCTGGAGATGCCGGGGATTGAACCTGGGACCTTCTGCCTGCCAAGCAGAGGCTCTTCCACTGAGCCACGGCCCCACTTCATGGCTCTCCAGGGTCTCAGGCGGAGGTCTTTCCCATCCCCTCCTGCCTGGCCCTTTTAACTGGAGATGTCAGGGATTGAACGTGAGACCTTCTGCATGCCAAGCAGAGGCTCTTCGCACTGAGCCACGGCCCCTCTTTACAGCTCTCCAGGCGGAGGTCTTTCCCATCACCTAATGCCTGGCCCTTTTAACTGGAGATGTCAGGGATTGAACCTGGGACCTTCTGCCTGCCAAGCAGATGCTCTTCCACTGAGCCACGGCCCCACTTCATGGCTCTCCGGGGTCTCAGGCGGAGGTCTTTCCCATCACCTCCTGCCTGGTCCTTTTAGCTGGAGATGCCGGGGATCGAACCTGGGACCTTTTCCATGCCAAGCAGAGGCTCTGCCACTGAGCCACAGGTCCTCCCCAAGTATTAACGTGACACATTAAACAAATGCGAAGTTCGTATAGTAGGAACCTACTGACGGCAACGGATCACGCGAATTAAACACTGTGGGACAGTCTGAAGTATTTACGGGACCATCTCCTCCATTATGTCCCCGGGAGAGCAGGGGGCGTTCGTAGAAAAAGAGGTGCAGGAGCTCATTAGCGTAACTCATTTATGTAGGCCACACCCCCTGACATCACCAGAAGTGTGTCAGAAGGCAACACCCACCGCTCAGGCTCCACTGGACTGTTTTGGATTGCTAGCTATTGGGGGGGGGACATGCAGATCTGTCCTCGCAGAGGAGGGAGAGCTTGTGCCTGAATAAAACCTGGTCTTAAAGATGCCACTGGTCTTAAAGGTGCCACTGGACTGTCTTGGACTGGGAGCAGGGGGCGGGGCTTGTTGCATGTGCCCACCCCCTGGGCTCTTTACTGCTAGAGCTCCGCTCCTGTGCGCTCCTGCAGGAAATGACCCTTATGAGTTCCACACATAACAATTTACTGGCTGTCCCTGACCACAGCCTTTTCGGTCCTGGCCCCAACCTGGTGGAACTCTCTGCCTCATACGGTCAGAGCCCTGCGGGACCTCATGCAGTTCCGCAGGGCCTGCAAGGCAGAGATGGTCCGCCAGGCTTTTGGTTAGGGGGCAGCGACGGTTTCCCCCCACCCCTCCAAAACAAAACAAAAAAAGAACTTAGGAAGTGACCAAAACCATTCGGAATTCCAGATCTTCAACTGTATTATTGTTAGTGATGCCTTCCTGAATTTTACATTGGTTTTTAATGCTATTCATTTTATTATATTTAATAATTGTATATTGTTCCTAAGGCTTATGCCATACTGTATATCGCCCAGAGCCCGGCACAAATCTGGATAGGGCGATCAATCTCTAATAATAATAATTAAATCAGGGCTCTTTTTGTAGCAGGAACTCCTTGGCATATTAGGCAACACACCCCTAATGTGGCCAGTCCTCCAAGAGTTTACAGTAGCCCCTGTAAGAAGAGCTCTGTAAGCTCCCGGAGGATTGGCTACATTAGGGGTGTGTCGCCTAATATGCAAAGGAGTTCCTGCTACAAAAAGAGCCATAATCAGGGGTCGTTTCCTGCAGGAGCACACAGGAGCAGAGCTCTGGCAGTAAAGAGCCCAGGGAACGTTTTCCCCCCCCCACCCAAATAGCTAGCAATCCAAAACAGTGCAGTGGAGCCTGAGCGGTGGGTGTTGCCTTCTGACACACTTCCGGTGATGTCAGGGGGTGTGGCACATGAGCACCATTCTGGCCGGCCTCGTCCCCTCCTCGCCCCGCCTTGGTTGTCCTGCTCCGCCAGAGGCGATGCCGCTGCACAAAGGGAAGCTGCTGGCTGAAGTATGGGCGACCAACAGCTCCGAGCTATGCTCGCACATGTGCAGTAACCGCCGGTGGCTCCCACATGCCAAAGAGGAGGGGGGAGAGGGCGGCGCGAGGCCGCCCAATGAGGAGGCTGCAAGCTACGCTCGAAAGCGTCTGTTGCTGCAGCGTGCGCCGATGGCTGCGGCCCCTGCCACCGCTACAGTGGCTGCAACGAGCCGTGCCCTCCACTGCAACTCTGGCACCTGCCCCCATCCCGGACCACGGGGGGGGGGGGCGGCAGAATGTATCCTCGCCTAGTGAGCGAAAAAACCTTGGGCCGTCACTGGATAGATTACCATGGCTACTCACCATGGTAGTTGAGGGGAACTTCTACATTCAGAGGTACTAATCCTCTGAATCCCAGAGCCAGGAGGCAACATCAGGGGAAGGCCTCGGTCTCTCTGCCCTGTTCTTGGCCGTCCAGAGGAACTGGCTGGCCACTGTGTGAGAGACAGGATGCTGGACTAGATGGACCACTGGCCTGATCCAGCAGGGATCTTCTGAGGTTCTTATGAAGGCCTCGGCCTCTCTGTACTATTGTTGGCCCTCCAGAGGAACTGATTGGCCCCTGTGTGAGACAGGATGCTGGGCTAGAGGGACCCTCACTGGTCCAATCCAGCAGGATGCTTCTGATGTTCTTATCAGGGGAAGGCCTCGGCCTCTCTGCCCTGTTTGTTGGCCCTCCAGAGGAACTGGCTGGCCGCTGTGTGAGGCAGGATGCTGGGCTAGAGGGACCCTCCCTGGTCTGACCCAGCAGGGCTCTTCTGAAGTTCTCATGAGTGTTACCTTGAGACGTGGTCCAGTTGCAGTGTAGTGGTAGCAGTTCATCGAGGAGTGTGCCACCTGAGAAAGGGAAAGAAGGGAACCTGTGTCTCTGGGAAAGAGGGACATCAAAAGGTGGGTGTCTCCCCTCCCCGAAGGCAAACTGTTAACAGGGACGGCAGCAGCCTGGCTTGCAGCTGCCAGACTTTGGCATGATGGCCGAGTGGCCCAAGAGCTTGGGAGGTCGCCTTCTTACTTTTAAAATGACGGAGCCCTTCAGAAGGTTTTTGCCGCTCAGGTCTTGGTATGGAAACAGGCCAGTATCAGAGATCGTCACCTAAGTGGGGGAAGGTTGGCAGGGGCGGAGCACAGTGGAGAAAGAGAAACAGTCCAGAGTTTAAAATGCATTTTTAAAAAAACAACATGATTTCCTTAACATAAGAACATAAGAGAAGCCAATGTTGGATCAGGCCAATGACCCGTCTAGTCCAACACTCTGTGTCACACAGTGGCCAAAAATACCAGGTGCCATCAGGAGGTCCACCAGTGGGGCCAGGACACCAGAAGCCCTCCCACTGTTGCCCCCCCCAAGCACCAAGGAGACAGAGCATCACCTGCCCCAGGCTGTAAAGAGAAGAAGAGATTGGATTTATACCCCGCCCTTCACTACCCGAAGGAGTCTCAGAGCGGCTTACAATCCCTTTCCCTTCCCTTCCCCGCAACAGACACCCTGTGGGATAGATGGGGCTGAGAGAGCTCTTTCGAGAACTGCCTTTGAGAGAACAGCTCTGAGAGAACTTATGACTGACGTAAGGTCACACCAGCAGCTGCAAGTGGAGGAGTGGGGAATCAAACCTAGTTCTCCCAGATCAGAGTCTGCAAACTTAACCACTACACCAAACTGGCCCTCTATACCTTGTGGCTAATAGCCACTGATGGACCTCTGCTCCATATGCTTATCTAATTCCCTCTTGAAGCCATCCGTGCTTGTAGCCGCCACCACCTCCTGTGGCAGTGAATTCCATGTGTTCATCACTCTTTGGGTGAAGAAGGACTCCCTTTTATCTGTTCTAACCCGACCGCTCAGCAATTTCATGGAGTGCCCACGAGTTCTTGTTCCTGGCTCCGCTTTGCTTTCCAAACCTGTTTTCCATGTACAGAGCCAGTTTGGTGTAGTGATTAGGAGCGCAGACTCTAATCTGGGGGGACCGGGTTTGATTCCCCACTCCTCTACATGCAGCTGCTGTTGCGACCTTGGGTCAGACACAAGTTCTCTCAGAGCTGTTCTCTCGAGGGCAGTCCTCAAGAGAGCTCTCTCAGCCCCGCCTACCTCACAGGGTGTCTGTTGTGGGGAGGGGGAGGGAAAGGAGATTGTGAGCCGCTCTGAGACTCCTTTGGGTAGTGAAGGGTGGGGTATAAATCTAATCTCCTCTTCTTCTTCTAGTGATGGCCACAGGCACAGATAGCTTTGAAAGGGAATTAGAAAGATTCGTGGAAGAGATGGCCATTGGCAGTTATAAGCCGTGGTGAAAGGAACCCCCATGTGTCCCAGTGCCAGTGTGTTAAGCCCCTTGCTCTATACCCTCTATACGCAGGATTGTACCTCCACCCACCCCAGTAACACCATCATTAAGTTTGCTGACGACACCACTGTGGGAATGATGAGTCTGCTTACCGGGATGAGGTGGAACGGCTTGGTGTGTGTGTAGGGGAAACTAGCAGGACTTGTCACATCCTGAACATTCCCTGTTTGGACTGCTGCCTTCGGGCAGAAGATATAGGACAATTAAAGCAAGGACAAATAGATTAAAAATAGTTTTTATTCAAGAGCTATTATTGCCTTAAATGCTGTATGAAATTGGAATTTGGGAGACATTGGTGGTTTTAAGTTGTTATGTGAACCTTAAGGGAGTTATGGGACAGTAGTGAATGGTGTGTGAGTATATACGAATATTGTTGTAGATCACCGAAATGACTGCATCTTTAATTTCGTTGTACTATGTACAATGACAATAAAGTATATTGTTATTATTATTATTACATCAGGGGAAGGCCTCTGCCTCTGTGCCCTGTTGTTGGCCCCCCAGAGAAATTGGCTGGCCACCAAATGAGATGGGATGCTGGACCAGATGGACTCTTAACTGGTCTGATCCAGCAAGGCTTCTCTGATGTTCTCACAGTAGAAGGCCTTGGCGGCAAAACACCGAACTGGTTGCAAGCTGGCTGTTCTGTGCCCTACAGTTGCTGAGAGAATAAAGGTTGATGTGTCGGGGACTTTTCAGTTTAGAAAAGAGATGACTAAGGGGTCACATGACAGAGGTGTATAAAATTATGCATGGGGCAGAGACAGCTGACAAAGAGAAATGCTTCTCCCTGTCCCAAAGTACTACAGCTTGCAGGCATCCAGGGAAGCTGATGGGCAATAGATTCAGGATGGAACAAAGGGAATACTTCTTTGCAGAGCAAGTGATTAAAATGTGGAATTCTCTGCCAGAGGATCTAGTGATGGCCAAGCCAACCTAGCAGTTCGAAAGCGAGAAATTGCAAGTAGATAAATAGGTACCACTTCAGTGGGAAGGTAACAGCGTTCCGTGCGCCTTGGTGTTTAGTCATGCCGGCCACATGACCACGGAAACGTCTTCGGACAGCGCCGGCTCTTCGGCTTTGAAACGGAGATGTGCACCGCAACCCTAGAGTCGGATTCGACTGGCTTTCGAGCAAGGGAACCTTTACCTTTACCTTTAAGGGCACAGGTAGCCCTAAAAGGGGATTAGACTAATGGAAGATAGGTCTATCAGTGGCTTCTATCCATGGAGACTAAAGGGAACCTCCACCTTCAGAGGCACTAAACTTCTTAATCCTAGAGCCAGGAGGCAACATCTGATGTTCTTATCAGGGAAAGGCCTCGGCCTCTCTGCCCTATTGCTGGACCTCCAGAGGAACTGGTTGGCCACTGTGTGAGACAGGATGCTGGACTGGATGGACCACTGGTCAGATCCAGCAGGGTTCTTTTGCTGTTATCCTGCCTGCTTTCCTAAGGTTTTAATAAACTTTATTAAGCCTAAAAGTGTTTGTGTGACTGGGACACGGACTATAGCAGGGTTCAGTGCTGGACAGCTCATTGGGTGTTTAGTTCTGTGGTGCTCGCTTCGGCAGCACATATACTAAAATTGGAACGATATGGGTGTTCAGTTTAGTTTATTATTACAGTCTTAAGACCAGCATACAATATAAACATAGTATGAGAAAGGAGGAAGAAAACAGAGATAATATACAGAATAAAAATCTAAATTTAAAAACTTTTAAAATGCGACTCCCACAATCTAAGAATAAATGCACAAAACTCAGCAACTGAATGTGTAATCTCTGCATTGATAGACGCCAGTGAAGCCTTCCTTTGTTTGTATTAATGTGACCAGGTATCCTATCAACGAATGGGGTAATAACTTTAAGACCAGCCTCTCTGTAGAACGGGCAACTGAAAAACATATACTCTACCAATTCAACTTCATATGAAGTGCATGAACATAGCCTTTCAGGCAGTGTTCCCTCTAAGCTGAGTTAGTGTGAGCTAGCTCACAGGTTTCTAGCCTCCGGCTCACACATTTTTCTCTTAGCTCAGGAAGGAGTGCTCCAGGGCAGACTGATTTATTCAGTAGCCAAATTGCTTGCTCACAACTTTAATGCCAGTCGTTCACAAAGTAGACTTTTTGCTCACAAGACTCGACAGCTTAGAGGGAGCATTGCTTTCAGGGTAGGGGTTTTTATTGTACCTGAAATGAATAACCACAGATGGAAGGGTGGGACATCTGGCTCGGGCAAATGCCCTTCTGGAGTTCTTTCCCTCCACTGAAGCCAAATCTGTAGCCGGCTCAACGGTGCTTTTGATATTTAGCAACGCCCCACGTTTTGAAACCATAGTGATAATCAGGTTGTCATTGGGTGGCCCTGATGTACCCTAGCGCTAAAGCATCCAGGGGTCATTTCCTGCAGGAGCGCACAGGAGCGGAGCTCCGGCAGTAAAGAGCCCAGGGGGCGGGCACATGCAACAAGCCCCACTCCCTGCTCCCAGCAGCCCTCAGACAGAGCAAGAAGCAGCCAGGTAAGCTGCAGAGCCCTCCACCAGCCCCCCCAGTCCAAAACAGTCCAGTGGAGCCTGAGCGGTGGGTGTTGCCTTCTGACACACTTCCGGTGATGTCAGGGGGTGTGGCATACGCAAATGAGTTATGCTAATGAGCTTC